TATGATCCCACACTAAAGATAATTTTTGAGACGGAAACTGTCACGTTCTTTGAGGATATTGAATTTAGAGAGAAGAATAAGGTTAGAGAATTTGTCTTAGAGGAAGAAGTGGTAACAATCCTAGAACTAATTCAAATAGTTGCTTTTGATAAAGGAAGTTCGAAACCTCAAGACATTGTTATTGAACCCTACTCAAAATGATTTGGTTGTTCATGAAGAACAAACTCAAGATCCTCAAGAACCTGTGCATCATGAGCCAATACCTTTGCGAAGATTCACTAGAGAAAGAAGAAATGTTATTCCGGATGATTACATAGTATTTCTTTAGGAACATGAGGAAAATAATGATATGATGGAAGATGACCCAGTCAACTTTCGTCAAGCCATGCAGGATTCCAATTCAGAAAAATGGATTGAAGCAATGAATGAAGAGTATAAGTGCATGCAAGATAATAAAGTTTGGGAATTTGTCCCAATACCAGAAGGTGTGAAACCAATTGGTTGCAAAGAGATATTTAAGACCAAGCGGGATTCTAATGGTAATGTGGAGAGATATAAAGCTCGTCTTATGGCTAAGGGCTATATTCAAAAGGAAGGGATTGATCTGAAACTCCATCAAATGGATGTTAAGACGACATTTCTCAATGGCAACATTAACAAAACAATTTATATGGTGCAACTAGAAAACTTTGTGTTAGGAGACCCAAAGAATATGATTTACAAACTGACAAAATCCATTTATGGACTAAAACAAGCATCTCATCAATGGTACCACAAATTTCATCAAGTTATTATCTCATTTAGTTTCAAGATGAACCTTGTTGATGATTGTGTGTATCAAAAGTTCAATGGGAGCAAACATATTTCTTGATCTTATATGTTGATGACATATTCCTTGTCACTAACGATATAGACATGTTATACGAAACTAAGAGATTTCTGTCTAAAAACTTTGAAATGAAAGATCTTGGTGACGCTTCTTTTGTATTAGGAATTCAGATACACCAAGATCGATCTTGGGGTACTCTTGAATTATCACAAAGGAACTATATCAGAAAAGTACTTCAAAGATTTGGCATGCAGGAATGTAAAGCAAGGGATGCCCCTGTTGCTAAGAAAGACAAGTTCAGTCTCAACCAGTGCCTAAAAGGAAATTTGAAAATTCAGGAAATGCAAAAGATTCCCTATGCATCAGGTGTAGGGAGTTTGATGTATGCCTAAATATATACACGTCCAGATATAACATATATAATTGGAGTATTAGGTAGATATTTAAGCAATCCAGGAATGGATCATTGGAAAACATCCAAAAGGGTTATGAGGTATTTGAAGAGAACAAAGGATTATATGCTCACATACAAGAGGTCAGACTAGTTGGAGATCACTGGATATTTTGACTTAGATTTTGTAGGATGCCAAGATAGTTTGAGATCCACTTCAGGTTATATTTTCATGTTAGCTGGTGGTGCGGTTTCTTGGCGCAGTGCCAAGCAAACCCTTACTGTTTCATCCATCATGGTAGCAGAATTTGTAGCATGCTATAAGGCATTAAATCATCGAATATGGCTGAGAAATTTTGTCACAGGACTGCAAATTGTGGAAAGAATTGAAAGACCACTTAAGTTATATTGTGATAACAAACTAGCTATATCGTATTCTAACAACAATAGGAGCTCGACCAAGTCAAAGCACATTGACATCAAGTTCCTAGTTGTTAAGAAAATGGTACAGAGTGGACAGATTTCCATAGAACACTTAGGGACAAACTCCATGATAGCAGATCCTCTTACTAATGGACTTCCACCCAAGGTCTTTCATGAGCATGTTGCTTACATGGATGTTTTATAGTTTGAGGAATCTTTGGTTTAGTAGGAGTTAGTCACTTTTATGTATTTTATGTTATATGTTTGATTTTATGTATGCATACCTAGACTTTTGGATATATTTGGTTTTATATATATGTATATATATGATTTGTTATTTATTTATTACACTTTGTACATTAAGGTTATTAAATAATCTCATTGAGGTAAAGTAGAACCAGTTGAAAATAAACGTATACAGGCCAACTTCACGTAATTTTCATGCTACACATTTCATGATGAGTCTATGTCATTTGATTCTGTCAGCATTAGTGATTATTGATGGGTTTAGTTGTGATTGATACAATAGAAACTTTTTTTGTTCTATGTGCTGATGTAATCAATGGACGAGATTTTTGGAATATGTTCAAAGCATGTAATGGCAATTTTTGAGCTCATAAAGTATAAAACATTTATAAGGATTGTAAGGATATATATGTGTGATCAGTGGGAGATTGTTAGCAATTTTGGGTCATATATATATATATATATATATATATATATATTACATAATTAAATGTGTTAGGGTCATTATTTTATTATCCAAAATATTAAAGTGGTCTAATTAATATAAAGTTAATGGCTAAGGGCATATATGTCATGAAAGACTAATTGTATATATACCATTAGTGGTATTATAATTTGATGAGGAGTCAAATTATAATTATTAAATTTGGAATAATTGATAGCAGTTACCAATACAAAGGGTTATAGTCTCCACTTGTAGAGAGAAGTTATAGAAGTTTTTTACGTTATTGAGTTCTTGAATTTTCTCTCCATCCCATCAAGAGAGAAAACTCATAGAAGAACATAAGACTCTCTACATTTGGAAGATCACCAAACCAATCTTGATCCTTATCAATCTTTCATCATTTTCAATGGCTAATTTAGATATGCTTCTGCATTTAGTTTTCATCATGATTTTGGATATGGGAACACAAAAAAGTTTTATTCATCTTTATGTAATAATTTCTCTCTACATAGATAGAAAGCATGTGGTTAGGATTAATGATTGATTGTTAGAATCAAATTAGGTTGATTGATTGAAACCCAATACCAAGATCATAGACAACTGATGATCTTAAATCACACAATAATTTTTTCATCTAACACACTATATCTTTCTTTTCTCCTCAATATACACTAGGTAGATGAGTTGAGTTTCATGAGAAACAGGCCATTATGCCTAGAAGTCTTAATCATTTCTAGTTAAAAGAAGGGTACCTATGGAGATCATGTGAAACATGATTTTCCCTTCATAATATCATAAATGAGAGTTTTTCATTATAATTGTCATGTAATAATAAGGTTGTTTGCTTGTGTAAGCATTACACATTTATACCATTCAACTGAGTTGCTCCAGTAGCTTCAGCTTGAGTAATGCCCAAAGAAGAGACACATGGCCTTGAACAACAATGGAAAACTCACTGCAAATCTGGAGACCTCATAATAATTTTGTAAAAAATAAATAATTAATATTCACCACATGCAAGCCAAGGCATTATTTGCAAAAAATGAAAAATCAGTAATTATTACTTATTGACTCGCTACTGAAAAAAAGAGTAACAAAAGAAGAACAGACAAAGGAATTAATTAGTACTATAAATATATTAATACTTATATTCATTAAGTAATTAATATTAACATTTATTTAGCAAAAAATTCTTTTTTTGAATGACATTTATTACAAAATTTACTTAAGCTAACAATAATCATAAATAATGATTAAGAAGAATTTGAAAACATTCTATAACTTCTGACTTTAGAGAAAAAAGAATGTAATTGATTAAGAAGAACTTTTTTCTATTTAATAGTTGGGTAAATTATTCATCGATTAATTGAGAGTAATAGAATATCATATTTTATATTAAAAATAATTTGGGAGAATATATTATTTAACATTTTAATGTTATTTATTTAATAATATAAAATGCTAACAATTATAAAAAATTATTATGTATAAGTGTTATTTAGTTGAATTTAAATTAATTAAATATCTATGTGATATTTAATTATATATAATCATTTTAATAAAAAAATAAAATCATGTATTGTTATGTCGTTAAATGGTTCATCCTTGTTATTCGTATTCTAATTTCAATGACATGGACAACAAATAATTAATGGACCAAGAATATTTTTTTTTTCGTGGATAGAAATGAATTTATTATTATTTTTAATTGATTCTCGAGGATATGTATGGATGTAATTATTTCACTTGTCATATTCAAATTAAGTTTTAACGTACTGTTAATAGAAGTTCACTCAAGTAACATATACTTGATTATTTTAAAATAAAACATTAAATTTAAATTTTATAAATAATTTTTTTTTTATTAAAATCCAACTCTATCACATTATAAATATTTGAGGCTCAAATAAAATGATTTCACATAAAAAAAATATGTAATTTAAAATTTTGAATAAAATAGGAAAAACTCCATACTTTATTAATCGCTTCGAGTCGTATCCAATTATCACTATTGTAGCTAAATTTATTGAGCAAAGTGTTAAATATTTAATATGAAATAACATAGTGATATCAAATAGTATTATATCGATATTATATTAAAAATTAAATTTAAATTGATATATTATTACTTTCTCTAGTCATATTTATAGTTTATTAATAAAATAATTACGCGGAGACATTTGTTTGAGCTACTAATCATCAACGAATCTTACACTGTCACGTAATATTACTTTATAACTTTTAATTTTAGTATCAGTAAAAGATTTAATCGATTTTAATTCATATATTTTAAAAATATATACATGCGATTCAAGTCGTCGGTAAAGTGTAAAATTAAGAAATTTTTATTTTATAAGGAATAAAATTAAATAAAAGTTTTATAGAAACATTTGTTTCTATTAAAAATATAAAAATTAGTAAAAATTTATCTGTTAAAATATCTAATTAAAATATATTTAATTGGGGCCCGACAATGGACAAATATAATATTTGGTTGGTGTAATAATTTACTAAATTTGTAAAAATGAAAAAAAAGTAGAAAATTAATGTGTATTGTAGGTTGTGGCCTCGAGTCAATGATTAAAATAGAAATAGATGAATACAATATATCTCTTATTTAAATATTTAAAAACTAAACACACTCTGAAATAAAAGATATTAAAAAATCTTGCTACGTGAATTATTTATTTGATCTCAGAAAGAAGGGAATATGAAAAGAATTAACAAGAATGGAGGTGGATGACTAGAGAGAGAACACCTCCATTCTTGTTTACCCAAAGGAACAATATTCTCCATCCATGGCTGAGGTAGCGACCAAGCAGAGCACTTCCCCAACCACCAACAAGAAGGAGAAGGACCACACCAACGTCCTCATGGGTCGCTACGAGCTTGGGAAGCTCCTCGGCCAAGGAACCTTCGCCAAGGTTTACCACGCGCGGAACCTCAAAACCGGTGAAGGAGTAGCCATAAAGATCATAAACAAAGAGAAGATCCTAAAGGGTGGTTTAGTCTCTCACATCAAGCGCGAGATCTCCATCCTCCGCCGCGTGCGCCACCCCAACATCGTTCAACTCTTCGAAGTCATGGCCACCAAAACCAAGATCTACTTCGTCATGGAGTACGTGCGTGGCGGTGAACTCTTCAACAAGGTTGCCAAGGGAAGGTTGAAGGAACACGTGGCAAGAAACTACTTCCAACAATTGATCTCGGCCGTTGAATTTTGCCACGCAAGAGGGGTGTACCACAGAGACCTTAAACCTGAGAATTTGTTGTTGGACGAGAATGGGAACCTTAAAGTCTCCGACTTTGGTCTCAGTGCTGTGTCTGATCAGATTAGGCAAGATGGGTTGTTCCACACCTTTTGTGGGACACCTGCTTATGTTGCTCCTGAGGTTTTGGCTAGAAAAGGTTACGATGGTGCCAAGGTTGATATTTGGTCTTGTGGTGTTGTTTTGTTTGTTTTGATGGCTGGTTATTTGCCTTTTCATGACCGTAATGTTATGGCTATGTATAAGAAGATTTACAAGGGTGAGTTTAGGTGTCCTAGATGGTTCTCCGGTGAACTCATTAGTCTTCTCTCTAGACTCCTTGATACCAACCCCGAAACAAGGTTTTCTATTCCTGAAATCATGGAGAACCAATGGTTTAAGAAAGGGTTCAAGCAAATAAAGTTCTATGTTGAGGATGATAGAGTTTGTAGTATTGTGGATAATAAGGTGCTAGACAATGATGATGATGTCATATCAGACTCCGAGGTTGAGATTATGAGGAGGAATAGTAATAATAATAGTAATGGTTCTGCTTCGTTGCCAAGACCTGCGAGTTTGAATGCGTTTGATATCATTTCGTTTTCTCAGGGATTTGATCTCTCTGGGTTGTTTGAGGAAAAGGGTGATGAGGCGAGGTTTGTGTCTGGTGCTTCAGTGTCTAAGATTATAGCGAAATTGGAGGAGACTGCTCAGTTGGTTAGCTTCACAGTAAGGAAGAAAGATTGCAGGGTCAGTTTGGAGGGTTCTAAAGAAGGTGTGAAGGGGCCATTGACCATTGCTGTTGAGATATTTGAGTTGACGTCTTCCTTGGTAGTGGTGGAGGTGAAGAAAAAGGGAGGGGATAAGGCTGAGTATGAGCAATTTTTTAACTCAGAGTTGAAACCCGCGTTGCAGAGTTTGATGATGGAGGAATCTGCATCTTCTTCTTGTGAACCTACTTCTACACATAATGAAAATGAACAACAACGAGCTCTTTCTGATTCTGCCCTCGACTTACCTTCAAATGCTGAATCTTTGTTCTAATTAAGGTACCAGAAGAATGACAGAGAAGAAGATAAAAGGGTTTACTTTTTCTTTTTTGCCTTCATAGGTTGTGTGTATGGTAATTTTTATATATTCTCTTTCCTAGGATCATCCTGCTGTTTTAGGTTTAGTGAATTAGGTGTTACAGTATTTGTATGCCCAAATGTTGTAAGAAGGCTAATTTAATTTGAATATAGTGAATGAAGAAGTATATACATAATATATATATATATATATATATATATATATATATGTTTACATGTCTTCGGCACATAGCTGTGTGACTGTATTTTATTTATTTATATATACGAATGCAATTTCTTAATCATGAGGGGTTGCAGTGTCTTTGGGTTTCTAGTGCTTCATATAATGTATGCACCATCATAATTTGGAATTGGAAAATGGGGGAAGTATTCCACGAGAAAATTTCATTCCATTGGTCCAAAAGGAGTAACGTTCCAAGGAATAATCAGAATGTCAGAACTACCCTCTACCTGATAACTGTATCTAAATCAGGTTCAGAATTCAGATACTTTTTCCCCTACCAGTCATAGATGTAAAGGGAAATGAAACCCTTTTTCCAACGTGATGAATATGCGTTAGTTCACGGGTATCTTTCAATCTCAACTATGAGATATTAGAAAGCATAGACTATTCAAACCATGTAGAATGACAACAAAAACACTGGTAGAGGGTAATCACATCACATTGATCTCTATTTTGTTGGTTAATGTCAATTTAACAGTAGAAATAATATCATAGATTCCCTGCATTGTTTCTCGTTTAAAATTTGTGCAGCCTATATATTTTCCCCTGAATCATGCTAATTTCCTGAGCATTGCTTGCTGATAATATATTTTAAACCAATGGAGCTAATTGAAAATCAAGTACTTAAGAAAAATTAGAGAAATTTATTAGACCTTATCTGCATGGATGAAATTCACTCAAATATCAATGTTTAGTCAATGTCCAATACCAGAGCATTCATAATTGCCTGAAAGCCCCTTCTATCAAAAAATAACCTTATTGCTATCATACCGGCCCTACACACTTATAAGTGGTGCCTGTTGCTTGACCCCAAATTCTTCTACGGAACAGACACCATAAATAAGTTGTGGTGTGACCCTACACTTACAAGTGGTGCCAATGAAGCCGGCATAGTACTTCACATAGCATAGTAACATTTACAACGCATTGATTCTAACTTAGAATATTCATAAAAAAAATATATAACTTAGAATAATTATAAACATTCGAACCTTTTATGTCTGCATTCTTTTAATTATTAAATATAATTTTATAATATCTTGTAACAAATCTTTATATTTTTAGGTTCATTTTAAATTGAATTTATTTTATTATCTTTTTTAAATTGAATTTGACTTGTTAGAAAATGGCAATGCACACCTGTGTAACATTCTGTACGTGCCAGCACTAAATCTCTGATTTCTGTATCATTTGACATTTCATGCTGATGCAATGGAAGACTGGGGTTGAATTAGAATAGCCAGTACAGCTTATCCTTCACAAATTTCTATGAACTAAGGAAAGCACCGCTTTCTAATAATTCAATTGTAGGGACTCTGGTAGCTAAAGGAACCAACTGTTGGGACCTATTTCGTTGTTCAAAAACTCTTTTATGTCTCCCTTTGTGCTGTTGTGGATTTTTATATATTCAATACTAGCTGGGAATGGAAGGCTGAAAAAGATACTTGAGGGGGGAGTTTTAATTTTTAATGTATTTCATTCTAGATTATGGAATAATCTTAAACCTTTTTTTTCTCCTATTTCTGCGGATTAGAATGACAGATTGTTTTCTATTTTTTAAAATAAAGATAACCCTTTATTTCACTTTTTAGATGTCCACAACACAGCATTTCAATATTTCTTAACACATTTAGCTAGTACATGGCATGCACAACTGCAAAAGAATAAAATGTGACACTTGTTTTCCATACCATGTTTGTTAACTATCAAGATGTTATTTTTCATCTAAGTACTATTAAATAGAGCATAACACTAATTTTTTTAATTATATATATATATATTATATTTCATGTTTAGCTGAATATTCAAAAGTTAAGTAAAACAAGACATATTCATGTGTGTTATTTTATAATTGTTGTTATCTAATAACTTCAAAAATAATATAGTAATTTAACATTATGTATAAATATACAAAATAATATCTTTAGTTCATATAAAATTTTTAAATATTTCATAAAATAAAAATCTTAGCATAGAAAACAGTTCAAAAGATTGTCAATAAATTGCCGTATTGCATTTCCATTATTCCTATTTCTGACGTGAAACACTTTCTTGACATAAGATGTTCTATATCTTCCTAAAAAAAAATAGCTAAAGCAGTGCATATAAGATTTGAGCAACAATCTCCCTTATGTTAGTTTTTAGGATTGAATTATACTTAATTTATCTTTAATATGATACTTAAATTTATTTAATCCTAACGGTACATCACTCATAACTATCTAAAGATATTATGATTTGATCCTGTATTGTCATGTTACTACTAGATTCTTTTCCGGAATATAATAGATGATGGGTCCATACCATTTTTTAATTAGAGTACCCAGAATAAAAGCTAAATTTTTAAAAGAAAAAAATAATTGATATATAAAAAATACTCGTAATAGTAAATGATAAAATTAATAACTTATATATTGAATGAATGAATATCACTTAAATAAATAATGAATAATGAGAGTGTTTCGTTAACAAAAATATTATACCAAAAATGAATATTAAAAAAATTTAACAATTAATCCATCTAAAAATAACCTTCTTTGTATAATTATGGCTAAAATGATAATGACAATTAGTTTTTATAAAAAAGATTGAACAAAGTATTATTTAGAAAAAAAAAACAAATTTCCCTTTATTCATGGCTTTTAATTATTTTTCTTCGATTGTTTTCTTTAATTAATCTAAATACGTTGTTTGATACATGTAACTTAAACTGTGGAATCACAGAGCTCAGTAGTCGTTATTTATGTAGTGTTTTTTCTTTAGGAGTTCCCCTTTTGGAAAAAATGTACATATCTGTGTTTTGGAATTGGAAGACAATCTTAATCACAAAACAACTGCAAGCTTTATTAACAATTGAATAGACCGTATAGAAGTTGCATGTTCATAGGGACCGAGATAGCAATACCATGTTAGGACTTTTTACAACCCAAGCTTCAACAACAAAAGTACAATTTACAACACCCCACTTGCAAAATGACATTACATGCTTCCATTAGGACTAGAAGAATAGCTATGGTATGGATCATATGGACTTGCAAAAGAACAAAAGAACAAAAGAATTTGCAGCTTGGAACAGGGTTAGAGAGAGTGAGACTTGATTTACAACATAGAGATGAGAGTGAGATAGAACTTAGGTGGCCTCCAATGATAAGATCTCTAGTTCAGCCCACCAGAGTGGAGAAAGTCTTGGAACAGCTTGCTCGGGTGATATGCGAAGCACTTCCCTCAATTTGATGCTTATGTCCTTCATTGCTGGTCTTAACCTTGGATCAGATTGAACACATTCTTTGATCACCTCACAGATGACATCAAGTTCATTCTCTTTGAAGGACTGCAGCGTGGGATCGATCAAAGAGCTGAAGCTTTGCTTATCATTCAAGTGCTCAGCAGCCTAGGAAGTTGATGAGGATTTATTTGTTATGTCACATACAACAATGGAGTTGCACTTCAAATTACTACGAACTACGAAGGGAACTTCCAAAGGAAAAGAAGATAGGACAAGGGAAGGAACACAAATATCAAACTTACCCAGCTCACAAGGTGGCCTTGTTCTTCAGAGTAAGGTAGTTTCCCTGAGATGATTTCAAGCAACAATACTCCAAAGTTATAGACATCGGTTTCAGGATCAGCATGGGGTGGCAGCTCAGATTTCAGTGATTCGTCTCCAGTTGGGTTGGCTGGTAATAATACATTCTTGCCAAAAGAGATCTCTGATATCTGAGAGCAATAGAATGGAGATATATTACTTGATACCTAACATATATTAAAAGCAAACAAAACCTGTAAATGTGTATACCTTAGCAGCAAAGTCATCTGTTAATAATATAGAAACTGAACTGAGGCCAGAATGAGCTACTGGTGGATTTAGATCATGATGCATATACTGAAGACAATAAGCCGTGCCCATAATAACCCTCATCCTTGCGCTCCAGTCAAGATGTTCAATTTCCTTGACTGAAAATAAAACAAATACACAGAACTTGAGTTTTTTTTTTTTCCTTTGTGAAGAGAACTTGAGCATTGACTTGGATTTACTATGTGCAGGTTAATAACTTGAGCCTTCAAAGAGTGTTTCCACTTACCATGCAGATGCTCAAATAAGCTTCCATTTGGAGCATACTCAAACACCATCATCCTTGTGAATGGTTGTTCTTCATCACAGTAACCAATAAGATTGGTAAAGTTCTTATGGTTAACACGGGACAATGTAGCAATCTGAAATATATAAGAAACAAAATTAGCAACAGGTAATTAAGCTTTGAAAGTCCCTCAGTTGAATTGAGACTTCTGGTTTTTTTTCCCCTTTTCAATGACTTGAGAAGGAGAAAACCTTTTTGCGATAGGCCATCTCCATGCTCTTAGTCCAATCTTGGGCAGAAGTGACAATAGTAGAATCTACAGCAATCTCAACTCCACTGGACAGTGTTCCTTTGTAAATGGTGCACTCATCAAAACTATTAATGATATTGCTGAAATCTTCACATGCTGTCTCCAGCTCTGCTCGATTCAACTTGGGGACCCCTACGTTGTGTAGAAGGACATAATATTTGTGTCATCATAATATGACAACATTTATTTTCTTTTCATTTAATGGGGAATATTGGGATTTTTCACCATTTCATGAACCTATATTACCTGTTATAAATGCTTTCTGCAACTGTCCGCTTATTCCTGTCTTCCAGGGCTTTATTGCTTTTGCTGCTCGTTTTCGCCAAATGCAAAGTATGATCAGAATAACAATGATCAAGACAGCCACACCAGCGATTATAATAATATATTTCCAAAATTTTCCAGCAGCACCATCAGCTGAATTCTGTTGACTTGTTGGATTCATGTGTGGAGAATCTGAAGGTGAAGGCAATGTAGGTGACTGGTTTTGCTTCTTATTGGCATCTGGCACCGCTGGGAAAGCTCCACTACTCAGGGTAGTTGGAACAGAACTGATTTGTATAGTAGGTCCACCACTAAAAGGTGCAGCTGCAAGGTTACTGGACTGATCAAGTAACTTGCGACGTGCAAAATTGACTAGATTTGATGCATTCTGATCAATTTCTGATTCATCAGAATCTACATGATGAAAGGTATGTTTTGAAAGTCAATTAAAAGCATAATTAACAATTTCTCACAGGCCATAAATCAAAGTTCTCCACTCACTAGTCAGATTGTCACAGTAGTTCTCTTCACGGCCATGACAGGTAGCCTTTCCTAGCTTGAACCTTCAAATAAGGGCAGACTATTTTAGTAAGCTGAACAAGATGAAAGGAACATAATATATGTGCATATAAAGATTGAGATAAAGTAGAAAGTTATCTACACACAGTGCTGTGGCAAGAAGGTATTTCCTGAGTGCTCCTTTAATTGGAATAACAAATAAATATACTGTGTTCCTCTGCTTGATATTTCTATGCCACATATTGTTCACGCTATGCATCAAAAGGTCGAAAAGTCAGAAAGTCAACCATTCTTTTTAACCATAAAATATGCAGCAAATTAAGATAAGTATACAATCCCAGAGGATGATACTGTTAAAAGTTTGTCACTGCAAAATCTAATCTTACTACCATAACAGAACTACAACACATTCCAAACATTTCGGTTCCTATAACAATAAAATAATCATAGTGATCAGATTTAAGACAATCAAATAGAGAAGAAGGCACTGTACACCCATAATTCTTCTGTCAATGAATTTGGACGGCTAAAGGACACGCCAAGAACTTTCAATAACACCAATAAGATATGATCAATATTTTGGGTTTCCACCAATCATTTGGCTATTAAACGCAAATGATAAACAGGTTGGTTTTTCATTAATCATTATTTAGATTAATTTTAATCTTTGCAGAACACTTGTAATTTGATTAGAGCCAATCATAGCTAAACAGAGAGTGAATTCTAGTGTTATAATGTGTAGCAGAAAACAAACTGGGTTTTAAGGAGTTAAAAACAATGAAAAATTGAAAACAGAAACAAAGTTCAATTTATCTGTTCTACACAGACCCCCAGTCAAGAATACATACATTGCCATGGTGTTGAATGCTGATGCATAAAAGGTTAAACAGATCAATGAGAAGCTCAATCTGAAGGATGACCTGTATCTATTGAAGACAGTGCACAGAAACTCTACGTAAACAGAAAATTAACTACTTTAATTATGAAAATGGGAGATCTCAGATTGATTAACAGAACATCTTAAACCAATTCAATAATGACGTTATTAAGAAATCACCACTATGCTCCATCGTTTATATATTTCTTAAGGAGAAGTCTAGAATAAGTAAACATATATGTGCTCAGTCTAGGTGTCTATTTCAGACGATGCCTGTCCTTGTGGAAATAATTTTCCATGGGTCGTCCAAAAGGCTTCATTCTTTGCAAAAGAATAAAATTTGTGACAACAATGGTTCTTATGTCTCACTAACTTGCCCCTACATTTAAGTGAAGCAGAAGGAAGAAAAGCATGCCATGAAATTACTACCAAGGTCACTAGGACAGAAAAAAATTAAGATACACTTACCAGCATGCAAGCTTTCTATTCTTTCCACATGGCAGAGGTGATGAAAAATTGTCAAAAGAGGGCAATCTGATCTTTCCCAGCTCTTGAGAATCACTACGTTCAATTTTATTGTTACAAACCAACCTATAGAAAAATTAAATTTCATTGTAGGTAACCCAGAAATAAAACTAAATAGAAAAAAGATAATATAGAGTTAACTAACAATTGTGTTGACAACAATATCCTGCCAATTTCTGCTGGGATACATCCAGTCAAGTTATTCCCCCTTAAGTCCAACAACTCCAGCTTTTCTAGATCTCCAAGTTCTTTGGGAATGGTACCAGAAAAATTGTTCTTGTATAACACACTATTTCAAAGTAACATAGGGAGAATATCTGAATTAGAAATGTATTTGAATATACATTACCATATTAATTTAACTGAGCTGTTGGATTTTTACTTCTGAGAAAGTAGCCACAAGGTTAGTCTTTCATTAAAGACATACATTTAAAAACAAAGTAAAATTGATTGATAATTTAACGAGAACTGAAATAACCAAACAAAAGGGCTCATGATATTCTGTCAAACAAAGACAAGAAACCCTTATGGATTTAGGAAGTTTTCATATTACATTGAATTTGGACACAAATGGTATAATAATCCAGCTGATAGGCAACAAACTGTCTTTCTTTGGAGTTGAGCACTTGAATATTAGCTATTTAGAAGAATTTGTGGTAGGAAGAAAACTGCTATAATGCAGGCAGGCTCACAAATTAACATTGCATGGAAAATGGGAGAGGAAAAGTACAATGGAAAAAATATAGAAAGAATGATAAAAAAATATACACAGCTGACACAAGACACATACATATATAAAACATTGGTTGCTATCAGTCTACTGAATGAGTTAATGGCCTCATTCCAGAGACAAGGGAATGCAGGCATAACATGATTAAGGATACAAAAATGATACAAATTAACAAGATACGTGAAAGTAAGGTAATCATAGGCTACTAGATAGTGCCAAAATCACCAGTTCATTTTCCAAGCATATCAATCATGATTACTGACTAAACTTAAGAAAGATACCTATATTAGTGTGACAAATACTGAGCTCTTATATTAAGTTATATTATTATTGTAAGATAACTTTCAATTAGAGATTTCACTGTTTCAATTTTAAACTGTCGGTCAAAATCAGGATCAGTTATTGTTAGAGGCTTCAGCAAAACAAGCGCAGAGTAGTGTTCAAGAACCCATACAGATATTTTAGATGACTAAGTTTCCCAAGCTCAGGAGCCAATGTCCCTTTCAGAGATATCTTACTTAGGTCCCTACAAGAAATAACAGAAAATCACAATCCTTTAAGCACATGAAAATCAGCACTGCATTCACATCAAACAAAATGGCAGCTTTCTTAAACATCAAGAACAGCTATATGTACCAGTGTTTGCTAAAAGAAAAATAATAATATCTTGCTGGAAAACAGAAAAAGAGGAAATCAAAAGGAACTTACAGGATTTGCACTTTACCATCAACACAATGAACACCATACCACTTGCAAGGGCTGCAATCGTTTGGATTCCAATTTGCCAGAGCACCAAAAGGATCAGAAGTTATTCTTAGCCGAAACTCCAACAATGCTAATCCTGTATTGCCCATTCCAAATGAAATCATACATCAAGCTACAAGAAATGCATTACATGATTCATTGTAAATTGGTGTGGGGGGGGGGGGGGGACTAAAAGGACAATCAATAAAAATCACCTTCATGATTAAGAGACCAACACTGTTGAGTTCCCCACAGATAAATCGATCCAACAAATATTCTGAGCCATAATCCAAATGGGAGGCCCCTTTTGCTCTCCATTGCTAGGTGAAGGCAATGCCACTTTGGTGTATCTCTTTATGGGCCGGAAGCTATATGTATGTCATTTCATATGTACAAAATTGACAGGTTTTTCTGTACAGAGAAACCCTTCAACCTATTTGGATGAAGCAACAGAAATTCACTAAGTAGCAAAACTTGCATATTACAATGGAAAGCAAAAACAATTTCAGCGGCTCTTGGGTCCAAAGCTCACATCATGGTCCCTCATTTTGCTATAATGTAATCTTTTCGTTACAACCTTTTGCTTAATAAACACATAACCCGGCACAATATCTTCCTCTCAAATGATTCCCAGCAGTGCAAGGTGGAGCTGTAAGAAATAACACCCGGAACGACAACCAACAAAATGAATGAACTTCTTCAACCGACAAAAGAAAAATTAAAATAAATTGATAAAGTTGACAACCAACCAAAACATAAAAAAGAAGAAACAAGGAATAACCCCATCAGCAAGCAAACTTTTCGTCAATAATAATAATAATAATAACAACAACAAAAAGAAGGCAAAAAGGGAAAAAGGCATTGCAATTGAATTACCATGCAAATAGGAGAAAAGGGTGCAGGAAAAGATGTCCCTTTGTAGCGGTTATTCGTTGAAACCGAAGAACGAACAATGTATTGTGATTGATGATGAAATGTAAGTTAGTTATGACAGGTGGGGTGGGGGGGTAATTAAGATGGAGAAACAGAAAAAAGGCAGCAACGATTCAAAGATTGAACAATCTATCGTAATATTGAATGTTACGTTAAACTGCTGCCTTTGGAAGATGATCTCAGAGGAACCTCTCTTTGACCATCTCCATCCTCGTACGATGTTGGGTTGTTTTCTTTGTATCTTGTCTCAGATTCTCTCTCTTTACCCCCCACAACCCACACACACATTTCCCCCTCTCATCATTTTCTTTCTCCTAAAATTCGTTGTTTCTCCCATTGCCTGTCACTTCCGAATTCCTCGCACGCGCTTTTTTTTTTTTTTGTTACTGCTGGCTCAGCCTCCTCTTCATGGTTCCATCGATGCATTACCCTCCTTTATTATTATTATTATTTACGAACATGGTTACATAGTTCATGCTAATTTTTAATTATTAGTAAACTAAATCCATAAAAGAATTAACAACACTCGCTTTATATTTGACGGGAGCTTACGTAACACTAACATAATAAACAACAAAATACGTGAAAAAAGTGTGTAGTCGGATATTCTTGCATGGAATAAAGGGTCATGTTTTTTCAACAACAAAAATAGTCAACTATTATCTCATTTAATTTTGGAATATATTTTTGAGAAGTGTATATATAAAAAATAATTAGACATAATACCACATTTAACATTAATTTATTATTTAAATAATAGAAAACAACGATGTAAATCCACCAACTAACTACCAAGATAGAATGTAGTATGTTTCAATTTTACCTGTCTAAAATGTCTATATTTCAAATCTTGAATATCGTCGCTATCCGTTGCATTTTGGTCTTCAAATGATTGTGGAAGGTGGACAGCAAAAAGATTTTCGGAATCCTTAGCGTGAATTAGAGAAACACGATAAGGATCCTGGCACAGAACTACAAAAATCTGTCTTTGTGAAGCTCTATAGGAATGACCTAATTTACCCATAAATTTTATTTCTAATAAATATTATCTAATTTAATGATTTGTTAAAATATTTCAATAATAAATTAACATAAAATTTAATCATTTATTCTTTTGTTAATTTATAAACATTATATAATTCTATAATCAAAATATACATTACATAGTTTCTTAATTTAAAAATAAAAAAATTACTTTGTCTTCTCTTTTTCACTAAAATTTTACTTTCAAACATATTCCTAATTTATTGTCATGACTTAAGTATCCCAGAATGGCTGATAGCATTGTAGGCCCAATTCAAAGAACCGTGAAGAGATTCAGTAGTCCAATTTGTAGTTAGTGCCTCTCAAAGAGGAATATTATTATTGTTATTATTATTATATGCACTGACGGTAGTGTTAGTTTGTTACCTTGAATTGAGGAGGAGGCTCTCATAATATCTCTGTACTCTGTTAATTATGTGCTTTGGAATTCTGTAGATTAGTGTTTTTTTATGGTATCAAATGATTGGTAGTAATCTTGTTACACAGAAAAGAATTCTCCTTCGCCTTATTCTCTTCTATCTCCTCTGGATGCTGTCATCCTGTCCTTGAATTCAGACAGTTACCCAATCTATCAATTTATTGGGGAAGCTGCAATACTCACCTCAAATTGCCTTTAGTTAGTCACCATCACTTCTCATCGATCAATGGCTGTACCAATGGTAAGATTAGCAACCTAACTGCCATTGATGATCTTCTGTATTTTGTTTTCCTTCAAATTAATTATGCTATTTATTAGTGGACGTCACATACGGTGATTTGAGTGCACTACAAAATGCCGAGTTGGTGCATAAATAAAAGTTTATCAACTGAAAATTAAAACAAATTAATAACACACTCCTTGAATTTTATGCTTTATTTGATATTTGAACATATTTCCTGCTTTGTATTAGAGATATAGCTGACATTTTATTCAAAGTCGAAGACCAGATACACATGTTTTCAACTATGAAGGTGAAGATACATAATAATGCGTGCTATATTTTCCTTTTTCAAATTCTGTCTTCAAAAATTAATCTTTACTTTTCTCCCTATTATATATGATCATTTTCATGAATCTGAACTAACTAGGACGTCATTCAACTTCCTTAACTAAGTAAATGTATATATATTACTCTGGCCAGACAAGAATCAAAATATATATGATGAGATGATAAATTGTAGGTGGTACCATCGTAGGGAATTATTGGTTCATCTGCTTTGTACAGAAATTAACTTTACATGCAATATAATATATACGATGATCCCATGATATATGGCAGTGAATGTTGATCATGCCTTGGTTATCCTTGTTAGAACTAAATAATACAAAGCTGCTAAAATTTTGGGTTTGGTAAAATCCTGCCTTTGCCCTTTTGACACGTACGTGAGTTCTGACTTTCCTAATGTACTGCCAAGACAATGGACAAGTCAAAAATTGATGTCACTGCACTGCATGTTCGGTTTGGAAACTCTTGTGGGATGTCTTAAATTGGTTATCTGTCAAACGGTGAAGTACTTGACATAGGTGTGAATGAAGCCTTCATAAATCCAGCGCTTTCTAACTGTTAAGACATTACTCTGTGATTCTTATGCATCGTAGCAGTTGACATGCATGGGACCACTGAGGTAGCATTTCACATTCTCATTTCCGCTCCCACAAAGCACCCCCTTGCTTGTTATTCAACTGTGACAGATTCATGACGACACCAACCTTTACTTATTTCATATAATATTCAATAATTTTTCTTTTTTAATACATATTCTTAGATTTTGGATGAGAGTATCTGTATAATTATATATATAATACTTACTAATATTTATGAAAATTCCTATATAGTTGTTTACGGTGAAAAATGACAGTTGTAAACAAATAATCCAAAGATCAATCTGGGGACTGGATTTAGGTCCTCTTTGGGTTCTTTTAAGTGTGTTGTTAACGTGATGCTCAGATTAACGGCGTAAAAGAGTATTAAGTAAGAATAGTGAATACTAAATGTGCACAATTAAATCAAACGTAGATGCTTTTACAGAAATGTAGCAAGCCGGAACTAAACAACGTACGAAGACATAAGTAACAAGAACTGAAATTAAAATGCAGAAAGGTAAATGTAGGAATGTAAAGGTGCTGGAATGTAAACGTACGACTCCTCACAACGGCGAATAACGGCCACCGTAGGTCTCCTTGTAGCTAGTGTCTGGCGCGGTGCAGAGTTTCAGCGTCTCAGAGTGTTTAGGTGTGGTGTCTGGGTGCAAAAAGTCGTCCTTTGTAAAATGGTACTTTGGGGTATTTATAGACATGAAGACTACCATCGTTCTCCTCCTTTTGTGGGCACTTCTTAGTAACTGCCTTCAACTGTTGATGCCCACTATCCACGATTGCTTGTGATCGTGTTGTTGGTTGAGGTTTCTTTCGTAACCGCTATCACCCATTATCTCCTTTGTATAGTGGTGGATGTTGATAACTGCTGGTAACCGCTTCTGAATTTTTCAATGACTTAACCTATCAAGACTCTTGTTTTTCTGTCTTTCGAGTATTTCTGGGAGAAACTTGAGAGACTCCTTTAATGTCACGGCCTTGGCATATTTTCTTCTTGACTTCTCTTTTCGAACCATTCTGGAGTTTTGAGAACTTTGTTTTGGTCTTGTGGACTTAGAATATTTTCTTTGTCAATTTCTATTTTTTGAGCAATTCTGGAGGAAATCTGGCGCCTAGTCAAGTTTGTGAACTTAGAATATTTTCTGATCACTTCCTGTTTTTCTTCGAGCATTTTTGGGTGTCAGGAACTTGAAAACTCCTTAAAACTCCTCGAAAAGCCATTAGTTTTTTGTGGACTTAGAATATTTTTCTGTTAGTTCTGTTTTTCGAGTAGTTTTGAGTGTTAGGGACTTGAAAACTCTTCAAAACTTCTCGAAAAGCCATCAGTTTTGTGGAGTATTTTTCTTGCCAGTTCTATTTTTCGAGTAGTTTTGAGTGTCAGTGATTTGAAAAATGTTGCAAAAGTCGCTAAAAATAGCTTGAAATGTGTCCCTTAAAACTAAGTCCTAGATAGTCTTCCAGGCTTCTTTTTGGCTCCTTTTTGACCCTCAAAATTTTGTCGAAAATGAAATTTCCTACAAAATAATTTTTAACTTGAAAAATTTTCTTTATCCCAAACAATAGTGTATAAATATTTGTCAATTTCTATTAAAATTTAGAATTATATTTATTCTGGGTTTACGCTTCAAACCCATTTCTCACTTTTATTTGGTGGGGGTAAGGACACGTATTCTGTATTTTGAACGCATGAATTTTTCTATGTCGACCAGATCTTTGGGCACACGCATTAATTGGTTTTAACTAAAATGATATGAGTTCCACCAAA